CATCTGGAAAGCAGTTGTAATTCTGAGTGATCTCCAGCCGTCACCTGGAGATTGGACACATTTTACCTCAGAACAGAAAACTGTTTAGAATGTTAGAGGCAAAAGCCAATCAAGTTGCATATGCAAACGACCTCTGTGTTCCGAGGCAAAGGCCAATGAGGCTGCATATGCAAATAACCTCTGTGTTCTGACTGGCTATGGGGGGGAGGGGATTAGCAAAATGTTTAGAATGTTGGAGGCAGGACTCAGGTAAAGCAGCCAGTGGATAGGGAGACCCTCTGAATGACAGATCAGAGAGCGAACTGATTTTGGAGCGTGTGGAATGTTCTAGAGAAGTGCCACCACCATTCGGCTTTTATTTATAAGGAAGATGACAACCAGCTCCTGACCCCTTGTATATAACTGGCACTCCTCCCAGTGCTGCGTGAACTGCACTGGCTGCCTAGTGAATACCAGATCCGTTTCAAGGTGTTGGTGCTTACCTTTAAAGCCCTATACGGCCAGGGGCCAGCATACCTTTGGGAACCACCTCTCCCCATATGAGCCCCATAGAGCACTGAGGTCTATAAATCAACACCTTTTGGTAATCCCCGGCCCCAGGGACGTCCGACTTGCCTCGACTAGGGCTTTTTCGGCCCTGGCCCCCACCTGGTGGAATGAGCTCCCGTATGAGATCAGGGCCCTGTGGGATTTATTACGATTCCGCAAGGCCTGTAAGACTGAGCTCTTCCACTGGGCTTTTGGTTGAGGTGGTGGAGGGGCCCCCCCATCTGTTCATTTCCCATCTGTGGCCTGGGTCTGAATAGCCATCTAGGAACCCACACTTCTGTTACATCTAAATTACGGAGACATTTGACTGCATTTTCACAAGACATTTTATGATCTATGTTGTTTTAACTTGTCGTTTTAAAGTTGTTCTTAATTGTACTATATTGTATTAAAACCAATGGAATCTGCTCTGAGCCTGCTCGCGGGGTAGGGCAGGATAGTAAAGGTAAAGGTTTCCCGTGCTCGAAAGCCAGTCGAATCCAACTCTAGGGTTGCGGTGCTCATCTCCGTTTCCAAGCCGAAGAGCCAGGGCTGTCCGAAGATGTTTCCGTGGTCATGTGGCCGGCATGACTAAATGCCGAGGCGCACGGAATGCTGTTACCTTCCCACCGAAGTGGTACCTATTTATCTACTTGCAATTTCTTGCTTTCAAACTGCTAGGTTGGCAGGAGCTGGGGCCAGACGGGAGCTCACTCTGTCATGCGGCACTCGGGTCTCGAACTGCCGAACTACCTACCTTCCAGCCTGAAGTTCAGCATCTTAACCACTTGAGCCACTCCAGATCCTTAGGGCGGGATACAAGACCAATAAAATTAAAATAAATAAATAAAATCCATTGTGCTCCTCAGCAACTCCTGGCATTGCATCAGTTCCTAAACTGATGCCATGAGACGGGCTGGTGCTCGCTTTGAAAAATTAACCAACCTATTGAGACAGAAATGCCCGCAAAGTGGGAGAGGACCCATATGGTACTACCCCCCTGCCTCTCTGCCCACATGCAAGCAGTGAAGATGTCCCAAGTGCATAAATAAATATGCAAATAAATTCTCTGATGCAGCCTGATCAAGAATTTGTAGAGCTTGTAGGTGCTGGGGAATCCCAGAAACACCAGAATGGTCCCATCCCTGAATGAGCAGGGATAATATTTACCAAGCTTTGCACCATTGGCAAAAGGGCATTTGCCCATTGGTTTTGGGACACGATAAAGAACTGGCATGTAGAGAGTTTTTATTATCTCATTGAATATGAAAATGGAACGTGCCTCTAGTCTGCAATCCAGAAAAGAGCAGTGCGTCAGGTTATCAAAAATGCTGCTACCCATTAAGAAGACAGACAGTTTGGGCTGAATGGCCCTGGTTCTTCTTTAAAGCATGTACACCACAAACAAGAAACGTTTAACAACATCAGAAGAGCCCTGCTGGATCAGACCAGTGGTCCATCCAGTCCAGCATCCTGTCTCACACAGTGACCAACCAGTTCCTCCGGGGGGCCAACAACAGAGCATAGAGACCGAGGCCTTCCCCTGATGTTGCCTCCTGACTCTGGGATACAGAGGCTCAGTGCCTCTAAATAGGGAGGTTCCCCTCAGCCACCATGGCTAGTAGTCACTGATAGATGTACCCTCCATGAATCTATCTAATCCCCTTTTAAAGCTATTTATTATAAGTTTGGGTTTTTACATTTTCTGGGAAGGCTTTGCATAGTGAGATGGTCACACAATTTACACAACAGCCAACTGTTTTCCATTTTTTTTCTTTTTATTTCCACCATTTGGCTTCTCACCCAAGTGCTTCTGTAGCAAAATAATAATAATAATAATAATTAATCATCAACATAAACAGCCACACCCAAAATAAACAGAGCTTTCCCCGGAACACCACAACACATCTTACATTCCACCTTGCGGAAGCATATATGGGTATATCGCTAGAGCAAGCAGTCCCCCTGTTCCTACCGTAGAAAATTCTCTGTACAATGGTCCAATATGATACAAGGCTCTTTTTTAAAAAAATAAATGTACAATTCAAGAGTGTCTTCTTAAAAATATATATATATGTATATATTTACACATTCTTGCATTAGGACCTAAAGCTCTCGCCGGGAGAGAGAAAAAGAATTAAGAAACAGAAACAGAAGAAAAACAAGAGACCCTGAAATTAAAAGTCCCTGACCAGAAAGCCGCAAGAGGCGACATCTTCACCCCCATCCCTCCCCCACAATCTTAGCAGAGGAAAGGTGGAAGGTCAGCAAAGCGCATCATAAGTTTAAAAATTCCAGAGGATTCTTTCCAATACCCTATTCTGTCAAAAAAAAAATTGACTGAATATTAAAGCTGTTAGGGGGGAAAACATGGCAGGGAGAGCTGATCTTTTCCAAAAAAGAGAAGCACCAGATTCAAGCCTCGCCCCTCTAACCTGAGAGTCACCCCTGATCAGAAAGATGTGGAAATGGTCTGTGGTTACTCAGCAGCGTAGACGATGCATTCTGGACATGTTTCAGAGGCACGCGTTTTGTTTCACATTTCCAGGGTTGAACCATGGCACGGAAAACAGATTCCAGGGGCTGAACTTGTTGGGTTTGGACACCAAATCAAATTGAGCCCTGATTCCCACCCACCCCCCATTATGGGACTGAGCAACATCAGGAGCTCTTGTGTCTCATCACAAAGAGGTTCTGAAAACAACTTTTCAGACTTCCCTATAATAAAGATAGGTCATCTGCCTGGCAGGCTTCATTTGTACCTTCTACTTGGAAGGAGCCCCCAGAAAGGATGGCACGGAGATGGAGAGACGAAGGAATTACACAGAACCAGAACATTTGGAGGTCCATGTGTATGCATATATATTTGGCACTGTGTCTCTCCCAAAAGCAGGCTAAAAACCCACAGCATTATACTATTTTATCCCAGATACTTTAATCCAGAATGAATATGATCTCTGGTTCTGTTCTCACAATCACTCATACTAAAACAGATAAAAGTTGGTGCTCCTTGGAATTAGGTGTGACCTCAAACTCATTCTTACACCAGGGTTCAGAGCCTCTAAATACGTTTCTAACTGACTCCCTGTTCACACAACCAGAGGGGTCCCCCTAACAGCCCTTCCCCATACGCTCTTTCAGTTAACATTTAATGAAAATGTCTGTCCCATCTCGATTTTAGCCATGTAGAGTGCATGTGGATTTGAACTGCCACACCTTTTAAAGGCACTTTGGAAAGAGAACAAAATGATTTTATCAAGATTGTACAAATAGCAAGCGTACCTAGGGGGCAATCCTAAATGCACTTGGCCAGGGAGTACATCCCACTTAATTAAGTGGGCATTACTTCTGAGTATACACCCACTGTTAGCGTTCTTGTGAATGGACTCGTGATGCTATAGAGAAGGGGGGAACCTACCACCGCACCTGAGACGCTAATCCTCCTGTCCCGCATGCTAAAGTACACACCTAAGAGACCGAGAGTGATTTTTATTGACATCTCAATTCAAGAAGAAGGCTTCTTGCCCCCCTCATCCAAAAATAAAGTGTGATTTAACACCTCTAAGGAACAATAAACCCAGATACGAGTCAGAACCAGAGACCTAGTGTATTTATCTACACTACAAACTTATATCATATTTATGCAAGATTAACTGTTAAGGTTTCCCACAGAGAAACCTGGGAATTGTAGTTTGGTAAGGGGCTGAGGAATGGGCGCTGACAGATCCCCAGGTCTTGTGATTCCCTGGAGAGACAGAAAGGCTTTAAAATTAAATTCTGTAGTATAGATAAGCCCCAAAGGGTGAGGAGAACTAAAACATATAGAATTCTGATGTGTTTTTTAAAATAAATCCCTGCAGTTAAAATCTCTCAAAATGGATACTCTAGAAACCCATCCCACATGCCATGACCAGCTGAAGCTGGACTGTAACTACTCTCCCAAGCAAAAGGCAAAAGTTTTTCCCCCAACCTCCTTTACACCTTGAGTTCCATTAAAAAAAAATTAACAGCTTGCAAGAACTGAAACCTGTGAAAACTCTGCTGAGAGTCTCCTTGAAATATTTAATCATATAAAAGGTTTCCACATCAAACCTTTCCAAGGTGGAAATATAAATAGACACCGACGATATAGAAATAAGAGGAGGATTAAAAGATAGAAAATTAACATTTCTTGACATTTCTGTACATGCTGCCTCTGGCAACCGTACTGTGTTAGATTCACGACCTTGGCAGCTTATTTATCTAATTCAAAACTTTGTAGTTTTTCAAAGAACTTGTTCCTTTATGCTCTCGGTAGGGAGAGAAACTGCCCAGTTAGGGCATTGACCTTTTGTTCGTGCTTTCCTGCAAATAAGACAAGAAATCCCGCTTCTGCATGACCTCCGGTAGAAAACACTGTTTGTTTTGTTTTGTTTTAAGTCCTAACCACCCTCTAAAGGCCTGTCAGGGGTGTTTCTACCACAACACAATGTGAAGCAGCTGCCTCAGGTAGTAGATTCTGAGTGCTGTAAGAGGCAAAAGTATGAGAGACCAATGGAGTCTGTGGGTGGGACACGATCCGTCAGGAAAGTTCTCCTGTGTACATTTCATTGGTATGAACCTTTTTGCAGAGAGCCCAGAAACACAAATGATGCCTTTGCAGGAGACAGGGTTCCTTCCCTCATTTTAATTTTCCTCACTTGCAAGTTCCTGTTTCTTCCCAGGTTTTTCTCTTCCACATGTGGAGCCTTCTAGTGGTCGATTCTATAATACACCAGTTTATGTCTGGCATAAAAACATGCAGTTTAAGTCTGCAGGCAGATATGTCTGACACAAACCGATGTAATATCGAATCAACCACTAGAGGGAGCAAAGCGCGTTCAGAAAAAGAAGAAAACCCCAAAGAAACAGGAACTTACAAGAGAGGAAAATGAGAATGAGGGAAAGCCGAGGGTGGGCTCTGCCATTAAGTAAAATCTGGAGCACCATTAAATGGCAGCAAAAAAAGAAAGAAAAAAACCTTCAGTTCCATTGGTAGGAAAACGTCCCAGTAGATGGTGTCCCATGTTAACGAGTAAGAAAGCGAGGTACCAGATGCATTTTCCACCCCAGGCATCCAAAGGTCTTGGGCCATCCCTGCCCAAGGTCAGTCATCCCTGCCATTTGCAAACTTCATGCTGTTGCCCCTCCAAGCAGGGCAAAGCTCAGGAGGCAAAACCCCTTGTCCACCCCCAAAAGTGCTCAAGTATCCCACAGAGTAAACATTCCTTGCTAGGACCCACCCACCCAGCCTCACTGGCTGTTCAACTCCAGCTTGTGAGAGAGCTCAAAGAGCAGGTTCTGATTGTCTATGACTTGGAACTGCCGGACGTACGCCTTTGTCTGCAGCTGTTGAGGGGACGACTCCATTTCCAGGCCTGCAGGAGGAAACAAAAGGGGCACACGGTCATGCCACCCCCCATTCAATCACTCCCCATTGTTTCTCAGCCCTGCGGGAAATACAATTCCTATCTCAACTGAACACTACTGTTTCAAGTTACTCTAGCCAAAGACCATGGAAACCAATGGGTTTACCCTGGAGTAATGCTGCATGACCAAAGTACGATAGTCTCAGTTTAGTAATTTTAGCTTCTAGGGAGAGTTCAGGCTTGATGGATTGGCTGTATAAAGGGAACCTGACAGACCTCAGTTTGTGAGAGGACCTCAGTTAATGACAGGACATTTTGGAGGACATTAATTCATAGGGTCACCATAAGCTGGAAGTACGGTTGCCATCCGCCCAATGGGGGTGGGTTTTCCAATCTGCTGCCAGCCAGCCAGGGGAGCCCCGCACCCAAAGAGCTCTCCACATCGTGTGTGTGTGGGGGGTGCTCCAGCATTTGGCTAAAAACTCTATGGTGACCATAGAGGGTTTTTTTTTTGTCAAATGCTAGAGCGTCCCCTGCATGATGTGCTCAGTGTGATAACGTCACTTCCAGGTGATGTCATCGTGGTGCACACACTAACTGCACACACTGCAAAATCCAGAGGAACAGCCTGGAGCACCCCACCGGCAGAAGGTAAGGACCTGGCAACCCTAGTTGGAAGCAACTTCCTGGCACTGACCACGCACACAATACTGCATGGGACTGCACTTCCAGTGTCCTGAGGTTGAATAGGAATTTGAACCTGGGTCTCTCCAGGCTCCAGGCTCTCACACGAACCTTGAACTGAGAAGCCACGATCCGTAACTGGGCTGAACTGTTTCCAACTGCAGGGAGGGGCCTGCCTGTCTCAATGCTCCTTTGAATAACACACACGCACAATTACTTATGTTTTTAAAAGAAAAGGTAACGATCCTTTTCTCTGACACGCTAGTTTTGCAAGAAATAGCTTATGATGGGAAACATAACAAAACTTGATTCCCCGTGCTTCTAAGTGTTTCAGCCTAACAGTATATATTCTGCTATTCTAAGCTCAAACCTGCGGGTCTTGGCCGGCCAGGAACGGCCTACGTGAGGTTTGTGTGCATCCTGCATTTCCATGATTCTGCTACTCAAGTATGGGATTTACAGGGCAATACTAAGAATACTTTCCTGGGAGTCAGCCCCACTGAATAGGCCTAAGTAGGACTCTGAGTAGACCCGCAGGATTTGCTTTCTTAGTGCAGCCTATTTCTTATTGTTTGTCTCAAGTCCTAAGGACTAGATTTACTTGCTGATTGCAACGTACTTTATATTGTTTATCTTAAGTCTTAAGAAGTGGATGTACTTGCTTTATGGACATTTGACGATCATGTTTTTCAGTCCATTGAAATTGTAAAATTGGAATCTGTGAAGTCTTTTCTTTTGGGAGTGTCGAATAGTAAATGTTAGATATTGCTTTAAATCTCCAACCTATCTATTGTATTTCATGTATTGAACACTGTTGTATATTTGAGAAATATCTGGAGCCTTATGTGATGTTAAGTCATACATGATTCTTAGTGGTAGGTGCAGAATCTTCTGTTTTGAAAGGCTTTCACGGCCGGAGTGCATTAGTTGCTGTAGATTTTCTGGGATGTGTGGCCGTGGTCTTGGCATTGTAGAACCTGACGTTTCGCCAGTAACTGTGACTGGCATCCTCAGAGGTATAAACACAGAAAGATGAAATACTCTTTGTGTCAAGGTGAGAAGAAAATGGTAGGTAGTCAATTTATATCTACTCCAGAAGGTGGGTAGGGCTGAGTCATTGTCTTGTAGGAGTTCCCCAGGCTATGGACATGCTAATGGAGGAGCTTTCCTGAGGAGGTTCTTTTGTTTCCTGAGGAGGTTTCCTGCTTCCTGAGGAGGTTGTTGAAATTCTAATTTTATCTGTAGTGCTATTGTCTGATGTAAAGCCTTTTGTGTTTTTCAGGATAGGAAGCCATGTCCTATTTATTTTTAAACTCTCTTCTTTCCTGTTGAAATTCTGTTTATGTTTGTCAATTTCAATGGCATCCCTGTGTAATCTGACATCGTAATTGAAAGTGTTGTCCAACCTTTCAGTGTCAAAATCCTGTTTGAGTTAGGCTATGTTCAGCCACTTCTGATTTTTCAGGTTGGCCAAGTCTGCAGTGTCTTTCATGTTCTTTTATTCTTGTCCGAATGGTACACTGTGTGGTCCCAATGTAAACTTGTCCACAACTGCATGGTATGCGGTATACTCCTGCAGAAGTGAGGGGGTCTCTTCTGTCTTTTGCCGATCGTAGCATCTGTTGTATTTTTCTGGTGGGTCTGAATACTGTTTGTAGGTTTTTTCCCCATAAGTTTCCCCATCTAATCAGTGATTCCTTTGATATATGGGAAAAACACTTTTCCTGTGGGATACTGTTTTTCCTTTGTTTTACCTTTGGTTTAATTGCTCTTCTGATTTCATTCTTGGAGTAGCCATTTGCTTAAAGAGCATGGTTTAGATGATTTAGTTTGTCTTTGAGAAAGTGTGGTTCACATATCCGTCTTGCACGGTCTACTAATGTTTTGATTATGCCTCTTTTTTGCCGAGGGTGGTGATTGGAGTTTTTATGCAAATAGCGGTCCGTGTGAGTTGGTTTTCTGTAGACCTTGTGACCTAATTGAAGGTTTCTTCTCACCTTGACACAGAGAGTATTCCATCTTTCTGTGTTTATACCTCTAAGGATACCAGTCACAGTTACTGGCGAAACGTCAGGTTCTACAATGCCAAGACCACGGCCACACATCCCAGAAAATCTACAGCAACTAATCTTTATTATGATGATTTTATTATGATTTATGGAACTTCTGAATTGCCCAATCCCTGAGTACACAGAGCTCTGGGTGATTTACAACAAACTAAAAACATATAACAGAGGTAAGTTTCTAGCCATCCAGGCTCCAAATACAGGGTCCGAAAATGCACGGGCAATTACTCCTTGGTCAGTCCTTGACGTCCCCCACCCCCAACCTCTGCATTGTTTGTCTAACGCAAACTGTAAGGACAGGTTTACATTCTTCTGTGTTCAGTATGTCCTGAAATGGATAGCCCAGGCTAGTCTGATTTGGCCACGTCTCAGAAGCTAAGCAGGGCTGTCCCTGGCTAGTATTTGGATGGGAGACCTCCAGAGAATACCAGGGTCATGACGCGGAAGCAGGCAATGGCAAACCACCACTTGGCAGTGAAAAAAACTGTTCAGTACAGTGCCATGAAAACTGTTCGCCGCATATACCACATGCCAAAAACAGTCACAGTTGCTTCTGCAAGCTCATTTTTTTTTAAAGTATGTTATTTATAGTCTGCCTTTCCTACTGAGACACAAGGCAGATTATACAGTATAAGTCAATACAGTAAACAGAATGGGACGTCGAATAAGCAGTACGTAGTAGAATTGTGTGTGTACAGTGTTGTCAAGTCTCGGCCAAATTACGATGATCCCAGCAAGGGCCTTCCAAGGCAAATGAGAAGCAGAGATGGTTTGCCATTGCCAGTTTGGTGTGAAATTCAGTTTGGTATAGTGGTTAAGTGCGTGGACTCTAATCTGGGAGAACTGGGTTCGATTCCCCACTCCTCCACTCACAGCTGCTGGATGACCTCGGGCAAGCCATAGTTCTGTCAGAGCTGTCCTTGAAAGGGCAGTCCTCGAAAGAGCTCTCTCAGCCCCGCCTGCCTCACAGGGTGTCTGTTGTGGGGAGGGAAGGGAAAGGAGTTTGTAAGCCGCTTTGAGACTCCGAGTGAAGGGCAGGGTATAAATCCAGTCTCTTCTTCTCTTCTTCTTCCTCCTCTGCAGACTTCCTTGGTGGTCTCCCATCCAAGTACTAACCCTGGTTAGCTTCCAGGACGGGACTGTACCATGCCACCTTCCCTTTGTCATGGGATTAGGATGGAAGAGATCTGAAACCAAGCAGAAATCTCACGTGCCGCAGCACTCAGAATGTCAGACGAGGATCAGAAAGACCCAAGTTCAAATCCCAACTGAGCCATGAAGCAAACTGGCTGACTGACCTTGGGCCGATCACCAATTTCTCTGGGCCAAACCCCCAAGCCTGCCAGGGGGATGCAGTGTCGTTTTGCAGCCTCCAAACACTGCAGAAGCCCAGTCCTGCTGGAGACTCCGACACGGGGGGGGGGGACAGCAGCCCCTCATAGCCCCCTGGCACAATCCCCAACAGGATCAAGTGTCTGACCTGATTTAAAAAATTAAAATGCAAGTTCTAAAATGGCTCCATATCCCATGGTAGACTATGGGGAGGAGGGAGAGGAGAGTTGGATTTATCTCCTGCCCTTCACTACCCAAAGGAGTCTCAGAGTGGCTTACAATCCCCTTCCCCTCCCCACAACAGACACCCTGTGTGGTAGGTGGGGCTGAGAGAGCTCTCTCAAGAACTGCCCTTGAGAGAACAGCTCGGAGAGAACTTGTGTGACTGACCCAAGGTCATACCAGCAAGCTGCATGCAGAGGAGTAGGGAATCAACCCCAGTTCTCCCTGATTAGAGTCCATGCTCCTAACCACTAAACCAAACTGGAAGGATTCCCCAAGCTTTTTTAGCCAGTGAGAACCTTCAGAATTCTGGGCCCAATTACAAAACAGCTGCCTCGGGAGACAGTGCCCACCCCAAAACATCAGGGAGGGAAGTCATACATAATTCCAATAAGAACTCCTCAGCTCTGTTTAACACGACGCCTTCTAAACTAGCACCTTGTTCAGAATATTATCTTGCAATACACACAGTTTACCTTGCTTGTGCCCTGGTAGCACAATGCTGCTGAAACAACTTTGGAAAAATCTACACCACCCATCAGACCTCTAACGGCCAATCAGAAGCCCTGCTGGACAAAAGCCACACCTAGCCTTACCCGCTTTCTAAAAACACTTGGCGGGTGCAAGGAAAGGTTTGGCAGGCACTACAGTTCCCACACAGGTACCACATTCAGAACCCCTGGTCTAAAGTCCTCAGCTTAAGCCTACCCTGGGATACTATGGGAGGGAAGTGAGCTATGAATGATGCTCTGAGGTCCTTTGGGAAAAGGTGGGATTGAAAAAAAATGTAATGGAAGTATAGGACATTTTGTTTCCCTCCCCACTTTGGACCCAGTGGGGGCATCAGTACTCACAGAGAGGCCTGCTCCGGCACTTCCTGATTGTCCGAACTTTTTCCGCCACAGAGTGCTGCAAGAGAGAGACAGGGTTTCATTGTTCTAGGCACCTGAGACGCCCCATTCTGCACAAATTTTATAGCAACCACACAGAACAGAACTCTAATCTGTTCCTCTGCTTAACAGAAGGCATCTTTTGGTGTAGAGTTGGATCCTTGGTCTATCGACATCGGGGTTGCCTGCTCTTCAGGGTCTCAGATCTTTCACATCACCCACAATCTGATTTTTTATTTATTTATTTTGCTTTTCTAAGCTACAAATCTACAGGGTTGGGGAAGTGGATACAACCTAAGATAAAGAGTCGCAAGGATCATTTATACATAAGTTTAAAATGGTTGATACTTCCCTAGTATCATATAGCAAAAAGTGTATCTTAAAAATATAAAGTTATAAACCAAGCAATCTCCATCATAGTCTTCAGTAGTGTGTACACTCTAGCTTTTAAAATTATATGTTCAAAGTAAACAACTAGCTATCAAAATTAATCTATTTAGCTTATTTCTTTCTTCAAACTTTTGTTTTATCAAAAATCTGTTTAGTTTTTTTAAGCTTAGGGGCAGCAGCACCTAATTCTGCTTCAGAGCCCAACGATTCTGCCAAGCTCTCTGAGATGATGTCAGATCTTTCCCAGTCTTTATCTTCTTCGTCCTCTCTGCATCTTTGTTATCTCCCACTTTCTCAGATGCCTCTGTTGCTTTCTGTTGTTGCTTTAAAATCTTTTCCGCTTTAAGCACAGGGGTGATCAGCTTCTTCACTCTTCTCTGTTGCTGCTGTGTTTCCTTTGAGTTCTTTTTGCAACGTGTCAAACTTGTCCTTAAGGTTGATCATCTGGTCCAGCAGAGGGTGCAAAGCGGCAGCAGTCATTTTAGGAAAGTCTATGGTTACTTCTGGTTTAATGGCCGGCGATGATGAGCTGGCAGTTCGTGTTGTTAGTTTCCCTTTGGCCGCCATTTTTTCTGCTCGCTGCATCATTGTTTACATTAAGAAGAAAGTTTTCAAAAGTCTCTGAGAAGCTGGTATTTTATCGCTTTCTTGCTAGTCTGCTCCACACTGCATCGGATTTTTGCTTCCTTCAAGCCGCCCTTCTCAGTCCCCACTTTTTCAACTCAGTTTTATCAGGTTTGGGCATTCCTCTCCCCTTCCGCTTGTTTTGAGCTTTGGGGTGGCTTTACTGCTGTCGTTTAAGCGATTGCTGGTTGTGACATGGATCAACTCGCATTTCACTTGCGCTTCATCAGAAGGTAGGAAAGATCATTTTCTGTCGATCACTTGCACGTTCTGCCCGGTATATGCCTCTTAGTGCCATTATTGGCTCCATGCCACGAGAACCTATTGGGGCAAAGGAACCTCAAACCCTTGGCATGAGCCTCGGGCGAGGGACCTCATGCACCCAAGGCTACGACCCCCCCTACAAGGGGTCAAGGGGATCCAAGATCAACTTGGACCCCTCCCCATCAGCACATTTTACAGGGCGCTCACATCAGAGCTTCGATGGAGCGCACCTGCTTGCAAGCCACCAAAAACCGGAAGACTGATATATTTATTTAAATTGGAGGTATCAAGGATTGAGCCTGGAACCTTCTGCATGCAAGGCAGATGTTCCGCTGCTGCACAGTCTGTTCAGTGACATGATGGAACAGATAGTGCAGGAGCTTAATTTTTTCTAGTGCAATCCTCAAGGTCAAGTGAGAGCATTTCTTAACAGAATATTGTGTTAGTGGAGTACAGCCAAGGGTATCAGCCTGAGGACAGAAAAACTGCACAGCGTGTGATGTAAAGTGTAAAGAACCACTCACGAACAACTTAAGATTTCATTTACAAAAAGGGGAGGAATGTGTAGACCGTAACGCTGAGATGGCAAAAAAAGGCATTTTTTTCTAATTGTTACAAATGGCCCACAGAGCTCCTTGCAAATCCCCCCGCCTGGCCAATCAGAATAAATTATGCAGAACAGCAGAAGTTGCATGATAGGCTATGCAAAACAAGAAATATTTACATAATTTATACCAGTTGTAGAATTCAGCTTTCCAGGGCGCTGCAGGATAGCGGCTCAGAGCAGCAGGGGATATACTGATTGAATATATTGCAGGGTTTAAAGACGTAATTTTATCTTGGATTGCCTCTGTAGTTTCAAATGCATTTGCCGCTCTGCGCTTCCAGGCAGGATTTCCATATGTGGAATAAATGGTGCATTGTTATAATTAAGCACCTAAATATTACACAAATTAGGAGCTAGCAACCAGAGGCCCTGACACTTAATCTGGCCACTGAAGTATTACCAAAACTATCCCGCTGGCGCATTACCCGAACTATGCCCGCTTCCAAACCAGAAGCAATAAAAAAGAAAATTGCGGTTGCAGAAAACAGAAGTTGTTAGTGGTTCAGTTTCAGGGACAGGGTAGATGGCTTCCACCTCATCACCTTCCATCTGTAGTCATGTGAAATTAGTTGCTGACCAAGGTACTAAATTCTGGGCAACGAACCAAGAGAAGAGGTCCTTCTCAACACAGGATGCACGCAGTGTCTTTATTGCTTTGCCCCAGTAGAGGGCGCCTCACACCATCCCATTGAAATAGTGCTGCAGAGAAACTCACTCCAAAAAGGAGAAGGTTATATACAGAAATTGTCCTCCGTCCAGAAATTTCCAACTAATGCCAATCAGATATATTGGTATCTTCAGCACCATGTGTGCAAGGAGTATATGATGAGGTGAAGCATTTTTTGTTGTTGTTAAACACATTCTAAGGACATTGCATAAATATAAGAATATAAAACATGCAAAAATAAGATGTCATCAAAATATGTTAAGATAATCAATACTTCAACATAATATATTTCCATGTATGTTTCCATTATTTCCTATCTATAGGGCTAGGTAAAAAAGCATATAGGCAAGAAACATAAGAGAAGAAAAGAATTTTTAAAAAAACAATTTTTCTTATCTTTACACAAGGTTTATACTATCATATAATAACTAGTAAATATGTTACTATAAAAGATTAATAAGTATAACCACGAGAATATGATTATACGATCTGAGTATTAATCAATTTAAATTCCTTTGTAACTCTTCTAACAGCTTTCTTTAATCTATGTAGTTTGTAATGTAGCAATTATAAAAGGCTCTCCACCTATTCTCAAATTCGGTGATTGGCTTTTTATTTATATAGTTCATCATTTTTGCCATAACAAGCATTTGATTTTTTTTTTTTTTAAGGACACCTTGAAAATTTTGTTAAAAGCTAGATCTGGGCAGAGATAGGTGGGTGGGGTGGGTGGCCTCGGTGCAATCCTACACAGAGTTGCACCCATTTAAATCTACTGAAGTGAATGGGTTTCGAAGGGTGCAACTCTGTTTAGGATTACACTGTAGGCCCCATTCAGTTAAATCTGCCTGCAGATGCATATATGCATGTGATGAAGCGTAAGTCCCCTTCCCTTACATATCTGCAGTTTTTACTAATACTTATATTCAGGGGTCATTTCCTGCAGGAGCACACAGGAGCGGAGCTCCAGCAGTAAGAAGCTCAGGGGGCGGGCACATGCAACAAGCCCCGCCCCCTGCTCCCAGAGCCCTCAGTCGAGCCATGAGGAGCAAGAAGTGGCCCGCCTTCAGGTACAAGCTCTCCCTCTTCTGTGAGGGCAGATCTGAGCGTCCCCCCCCCATAGCTAGCAATCCAAAACAGTCCTGTTCATCTTCCACTCCCTAACAAAGAATTCCTCTCAACAAAGAAAACTTAGCATGCCAGGGGAACAAGCCACAGCCATTCTGTCCAATAGATACTTTCCCTCAGTTTTTGCATGGAGACATCGGCTCCCACCTGCAGCCTTAAAAGGAACAATCCTCCAGACATAAATTTACCACCTCAGTGAGAACTAGACCACTGTTGTGTGAGGTAGTGCCACAATAACTTGACTGAATCCCACTGGAAGAGCTGCTATTAAACCTTTGTTGCCCACTCAAGTCAAGACAGAACAGACAGAACAGTAATTCCCGGGGGGTACTGTACTGCCCACCAATGTGCTCCCTCATGCCCATAAAATCTATAGCAGGGGGAGCCCCTAAACGTTTTCCGCCTGTGGGCAACTTTGGAATTCTGACACAGTGTGGTGGGTATGGCCACAAAATGGCTGCTGCAGGAGGTGGCGCCAGCCACAAAATGGCTGCTGTTGGCTCACCTTCAGACACCCAGTGAAGATCCTGGTGTCTTCAAAATCTGCACAGCTAATCCAGTTGCCAAACAGAAGCCTTGCTAAGCAAAAACGTCACCTGGCCCCGCCCACTTTCTTAGAAGCACTTGACAGGCACCAGGAAAGGTTACGGTGGGCACCGTGCTGCCCACTGGCACCACATTGGTGACCCCTGATCTTGAACTGAAAATAAAAGATGACTAACTAGCAAGGCACTGAGATTAGGACGGAAAGGTGCACTGCAGCCGTGCCCTCTTGGCTTGACCACAGACACAGACTTTCTTAAGTCTTCAGGACTGGCCATCTGCCCTTGTGGCCACACAGGGATCAAACCTCTCCCTTTCTATAGAAATGGAAACCAAAGAGCAACTTTTCCCCACAGCAAAGAGCTTTGCCTCTGCCCCCTTGGAGCCTGGGAGGCACTGCCTTGGTGTTTCCAGGAAGTGCTCCTTCAAAAGCTGTTGCCTTAGTTTGAGGAGGACTCTTGGCCTGCAACCACCCAGTGGTTGTGCTTATTGCAGCAGCCACCTCGTGACTGGCTAACCCTCCTTTTAGCAGCCATTTTGTGATGGGCCCAATTACCCTTTCTTACACTTCCAAAAGTGCAACCAGGGTCAACAAAGTTGAGGACCCAACACATATGGAAGGTATCCAGTTTCTGAGCCCTGAGTGGATTATACAAACGAAAGTGGTATTGATTGTGGAAACGGCTCCTTTTGAATTCCTGACTGTTATAACAGCCTTCCTCAACGGAGACCTGGATGAAGAAATCTATATGCAACAACCAGAGGGATTCTCAACAGAAGGACAAGAAGGCCTAGT